GACTGGATATTATATATGAGAGTGGGGCCCATTTTAAAGATTTAAAGAAAAAATCTGGGACATGGAAATATGATTTTCTGCTGGGAAGTGGGGCAGATACTAGATGAAAGGAATAAAAATGGGGAGATACTTGGGGAAAGAGGGGACTGGAATAGATACAAACTAAAAACAATATTTTTGAGCATTTAATATGTGCCAACTGCCATGATTATAACTTTGAATTTATTATTTAATCATTATAACAACTTTATAAAACATGTAATATTATCCCAATTTTACATATGTCATAAATGAAGGTTAGGGAAATTAAAGAATATAGCACAGTGCAAGTAAGCAGTAGAGCCAGGATTCAAACCCAAGTTGGACTTACTCCAAAGACCATACTCTTAATTACTGTGCTAAACTATGATAGAAATCCAGCTCTGGTAGAAATTTAACAACCAGGGAAGTCCAACATGGTATGGAGTATGTCCCAACAGCTGGAAAGAATATAGTCAAAGATTAACAGTTTAATGCAATAGTCAAGAGTCCAAGAACGTGGACAGCACTGGGAACCCTTCCACTGGCAACTCACCCCATCTTCCAGATCTTCCAGACACATCGAGTGACTGGACTCCATTCACTATGAGCAGGACTAATGAAGGAAGACATGAAAACTGAAAACTAGGCAGATGAATGAGGCAAAAACAAAAGCACAACTAGATGGATAAGTGTGCTACTATAACTGGAATAAAACTGATCAATTTGTAATACAGCAAAAGTGAATGAGACCACAAGGCTGAAGTCAGATCAACAGCAAAAGTGATAATGCTGATAATGAGACTGTGATGTTCAAGCTCCCTTAATCTGTTCTAAATTTGGGGTTGGTATTAGAGACTGATACAGGACCTAGTCTACAGAAAGCCAAGTATCTCCCGCTCACTGGCCATGAAAAAGAGGAGAGATAAACTTATTCCAGAAAGGTTAGCCTTGCTTAACAGTTTGCTTAGAGCACAGCATCGCTATATTGTACCTGCTTTCAAAGAGCTTCTTTTTCTTTTCTCCCAAGGTAATACCTTTTTAAAATCTCTACATTCTTGTCTTCCCCCCAATCCCATCATTAACACAAGAGTTGCCAAAACAGGGACTGCTTTAGTCCCTGTTTGGGTCATTTGTAATTAGGTTTTTCTGGAAAGGTACAATGAGCCAAAGTCAATCCAAAAGACAAGAGAAGTAAGACTGAAAGGCTGGGAATGTATCTACAGAAAAGAGAAAAAAGAGGTTTCACTGAAGACAGAATTCATATTAAGATAGATGGATTTGAGAGAGACGAGCATGTCATAAGTTTCTTCTTTTTCATCAACCTGGAAGTGAACAGCCTGGATTTGAAGAGACAGTTATACATCAGTACTTGGTTATTCTGAAATCCTGCTACCATCCAGGTGTCAGATCTTATTAGTTCACATATGACCACCAATTTCAAGAGAGATGCCAGGAACACAGTCTCTGGGCTGTCAGCACAATTTTAAATCATGTCATTTAAACATATTCTTGTTGGTCTTTACAAGCCCTTTGTTTACTGCGGGTCTTAGTCTGAATAAAGATTTCAAATCACTTCATAGTTTAACAGGATTTTTAAGTCACGGTTACATTTTCTCTAAGACGTCAGCACTATATCTCAGCTCTTCTCTCCAAATGCAATAACATGACAATAACAGATGTGGGGATTTCCGATCTTGTTTTAGATGTAGAACTGTAAAGTAAGTGAATTTAATCTTTGAGGTACGTTCTTTCCTGTTTTCTGTATCCTATTCTCCTGATCAGGCAACTAATTTCTTCCTGTTGCCTCTAGCTCCCAAGTATTCTTCCTACTGCCCTTCTCAATGCAGTACTGGTTGTTATACTTCTGCTGTCCCCCATGTCAAATTCATTCTCCAAAAGTTCTAGTTTTAAAAAATTAGTTATTGTAATATGATAAAATGTGAGACCAAGTGCTAATGACCAATGATGTTTAAGGATTATCTCTTTACATACATCACTGATGTTTGTTTATCACTTAACTACACCTACGAACACTTATCACATGCCATGTACTATGCTTGCAGGTTCACATATGTTATCTCATTTTGGGGATCTTCAATGCCTCTTTACCCTTGGTTCCAGAGCTACCCATAGTCATTCCTTAAGTCATGGGTAGCTCCTTAAGAACATAAGAAAACAACTGTCAATACGAACTGCCTGGATACTATGATTAAAAGACTGAATGTATTAAAACGCAGAAATAAATAGTAAATGTCTTTAATAATAATAAGGAATACAAAAAATGTTTGGACAGTCCTTAGTTGATGACCCTGGTAAGTTATAACTTGCATTCTTGGTCAGATTGCTGTATTCTTTCTTTAGGACAAGGAGTGAATAATAATGGATTTTCCTGCAACCTGACAAGGCCATCAGGAAAGACAGTTTTGGTCAAAGCGCACTTTACTGACTTCAAATTATAACACGTAGCTAGCTTTCTGCTCTGTCATTGAGGAAGGTTAGGTCTGGTTAAGTATGTGCTAAGGTCAAAGCTGAATCACAGCTAATGTCTAAATATAGACCATCTTTTAAAAACTGTGGCCTCTTTTCCATGGCTGCAATGTGTACAACACAGGAGTTAGATTTACACAGAGAAGCTGCCTTTTCTTAGAGAAAGTAGGTCCAGTGAAAAACACTGGCTTTTAAAATAAGGAAGAAAGTAGGAGTGTGCAAATTAAATAAAGATAAGTTGTTAAAGGTTAACTAGTTTCTCCTGGTGGTGTTATAAGCAAATGGCATAGTCATTCTCTGGTTCTAAAATATTTAGATGTTTTATTTCAGTCACATAGTGGGAGCTGAGAACAAATGTGGGTAAACCAGATACAAAATACCTTCACAGAACATAAGCTAAAACCTATTCCCTTAATCCTTCGGTGTTGAATCATCTGTTATGTCTGGACCATAAATGTGAGGAATGCCAAAGTAGCCCTGGTATTGCCACAGATACAAGGAAAAGCATACCTACCCTGAAAATGTTATCATCACTGCTATTGTATTAGTTTTCTATTGCTACATAACAAATTACTGGAAATTTGGGGGCTTAAAATACCTATTCATTATTTCCCAGTTTCTGTTGATCAGAAGTGTGGACATAGGGTAACTGGGCTCTCTGCTCGGGGTCTCACTAGACTGAAATCAAGGTTTTGGCCTGGCTGTATTCTCATCTGGAGCTTAAGATCCTCTTCCATGTATATTCAGGCTTCTAGAAAAATTTAGTTGCTTGAAGTTATAGAACTGAGGTCCATGTTTCCTTGGTTGCTGTCCATGAGATTTGCTCTCAGCTCTCAGAGGCCGCACTCAGGTTTTAGCCATGTGGCCCTCTCACAACAAGGTAGTTTACTTCTTCAAGGCCAGCACTAGAATCTCTCTTCAGTTGGCTATGCTGGGAGGGAATCTTATTTAATGCAATGTAATCACATAGCTGACTATACCATCACCTTTGCTATATAATGTAGCCTAAGCAGGGAGTGAGTGAGTCACTACCTCACTGTATTCACAGATCCCACCCACACTTAAGAGAAGGTATTGGACAGGGCCTGTGGGAACAGAAGCTTGGAGGCCATCTTAGAATTATACCTGTAACTATTAATCAGAACAAAGGCTGAATTCTGAACTGTATGACAGAGGAGATAGCAAAATGTTACTCATCTCCAGAGCCTATATGTTAAATGTAAACAGATTCAATACCAAGAATAATGTTTTCCAGGAGGAAACAAAACAAAAAAAATCTACAAATGTCTACCAAAATTCCCAGGGGAAGAAACTCAGGTCTCAATCTCAATGTACCCTTTGAACTATGCCTAGTAGAAATGCAAATTCCTATACAGACCAATAATAAGGCTTGCAGATTTGTGAATGGCTATCTAAAAGATACCTGTACCTCAGTTTCAGTAACCCCAAGCCCTAACTTCCTATAAAGCCACTCCTTTTACTACTACACTCCTTCTTTATATCCAATAGCTGGCTACAAGCCAGTGTGGTAACACTGCATTCTCTAGAGATAAAGTAAAAAATCAATATTCAAATTGTAACCCTGACATTTTCTGGAGTAGGAATAAAATAGCAGATGACCAAGTTTTGATTGTGGAGTATACACCCTGTATAATCACCTCCCCTGGAATGTGAGTGGACCTGTAAATATGAGGAGATAGTCTCTCCTTCAGTTAGGTTACATTATCTGGCAAAATGATGGGATGGATGCTCACTCTCATGATTATTTTATGTTATATATGATTCAGTCTGAGCAGAGTGAGGAAATTGTTTTGCTAGCCTTGAAGAGGTGAGCTGCAATGTTGTAAGAGGGTCACAAGGACAGGCTTTAAGGAACTCTTAGGAGCTGAGAGTAGACTAAAATCTAGCAAAAAAAAGGGGGGGAGCCTGCAAGATACTGACCTGAATGAGCTTGGAAGAAGACCCTGCACCTCGGATCAGATTGCATCCCAGATGACACCTTAATTTTAGCCTGGTGAGACAGGGAACCAAGCTAACCTGTGACTGGAAAGGTAACCAATGAAAACTGTGTGATAATAAATTTGTGTTCTTTAAACTGTTAACTTTGTGGTAGCTCTTTATGCTGTATAGAAAACTAATATATAAACAAATTAATAAACAAAGTAAACAAACTAGCAAAGTTAGGTTTAGGAACTTTCTGTAGCAACAGCTCTCAATAACTGAATCTCAACTGATCTTACTGCATAGCTAACATTATTTTCAGGAAATGTATTGAAAACTAAAACATACTTAAAATAAACACATTATTCTGTGGTACTCCAGGGCATAGTAGATGACAAACCAAAGCAAAAACTCCTTAAGGGATGAAAGAATGTCAGACCAGTGGGGACTGCAGCAAATAACTCCAACAAGGTTAAGAGAAAATCTGAATAATTAATAATGGTGTATATTATGTGGACTCATACATATGCAGAGAAGCAAAGCACACTTACTCTGAAAGTTGTTCACTGAGAAGTCTTGAGGATGATAGAATCCTGCTTTGCAAATGCACTGATAGGCTCCAAGCACGAATCCTAGACCTTTAATTGGCATACACTATGAAAAAGAAAAGACAGCAGTAGAGTTGATCACAGTTTATTTCACAGTATAAAGACTCACAGATATCCATCACTACAAATGGTAACAGAACTATCACATTTTCCAGAAATAAAGTATCTCTTTTTTGAACTCTTACTTTAGGTTTGTTTGTCAACAGACATTTTTTAGATGCTACAAACTAAGTTTCCTTTCTAAATACATGTCATTATGGCTGTAGGCACCACACAACTTTAACTCATTCATTTGCCATATGGAGTAAATTTCTAGGCATGGCTTTTGGGTTTGATGCCTCAAATATAATCTTATTGCTTTAAGAGATATTTCCAAAGCCTATAAGAATGCCTTAAGAAGGACTCCATGAAAAATATTTCTATCATAGCAAAGAGAGGCAGATAGGTAGGTAGGTAGATGGATAGAATTTGGGATGTGAAAATTGCTTCTATGAATTAAATATTCACCAAATTTTCATCCTTGGAATAAAATAAAATAAAATAAATAAAATAACAAATTGGTGAAATAACAAGTAAACCTTAAAGTGCAAATCTGGAAGAGAAAAATAAAGATAAAATAATGATCCCAAGGGCTCTTTACCTAAAATCTCTTTCATAGATAAGTGTTCTACATTTACATAAATTTTTAAAAAATGAACAGCTTTCTAAATATGTCACATCAATAAATATAATAGACATCTCCAAAAGCTTAATCTTGGTTTCTTTCAAAGATATCACTTAAATCTCATAAAATTTGGCTTAACATACTTCATTTCTGCTACATTTAATTACATAAGCACAAAATAACTTTTATTAAAATACAAACAGTACATCAATAAAACAGGAGTGTCTCAAGAATACAATCAACATTGAAATTTAATTTCTGCTCTCTACCAAGATGCCAATGCTTTGACTTTTTGCCATTATGATCAATTAGGAAATCTTACAATCTAATAGATTTTAGTTATAAAATGTCTCCCTAATACAGAAGCCCTGAAGAGAAAACTCTAAATAATTTAAATAATAATTCCACAATCTAAGCTTAATGATTGGTATCAAGATCAATATTACATACTATGAAAATTCCAAGAAATAGGAAAGTATTTATATATAAGGTATCAAGAGCTAGTACATGTTCTAAATTCATACAGATAAAACAAAAAATTTTAACAAAGAGCTTTCTAAGAGACCTCCTTGAATATTTTATTTCATTAATTCTACCCCCACCCCCAGCCTTTTTCTTACCCAATACACAATTTGTAACCAATTATACCTTACAATTGAAAACACAGTTCCTGACCCAGAGCAATATACAAGAAGAGAGAAGTACCAATCAATTCAACTGAGTTGGCAAGTATTTATGAAATAACTGCTGTGGGCTTAGAAAATTCCTATTGAACCTAAACAAAATAACACACTATTTATAAAAATCCAGTTATACAATAGGTCAGATGATATTTCTGAACTATATAAATTAAAAACAATTGTAACTTACTTTTCAGAAGCACTAGTATTATGAATAGAGCATATTATTTGTGGTCAGTCAGAAAATAAGAATTCGAATTATGACTTTATCACTAACTAGCTATGTGAACTTGGGATGTGCTCTTAACTTCTCTGAGCCTTAGTTTTTTAATTTGTAAGAACAATCATTCAGTCAAATTCATGTACAGTCTTGAAGAAGGCAGAAACACCAAGATGTCCTAATAGGTTAAATATGGGGTATAAGAGGAAGAAAAGAATAAAGGGTGACTTTATTCTGGTTTTTTTTGCCTGAGCAACCTTAAGACTGGAGGTGCCATCATTGACCTAGGAAAGGCTTCTGGAGGAGAAGATTTGAAAGAAAGAGCAGAAGTTCAGTTTTGTAAATGTTAAGTGTGAAGTGCCTATTTGAAACTGTAGGTATCAAATAGGCAGGCTGATAAAGTAGGAGGGAGTTTAGGAGAGATGTCTGGGCTATATAATTTAGGACTGATTTGCACAAAAATGATAGGTAAAGCCATGAAATCAGATAAGACTAGATCACTAAGGGAGTGCCTACAGGTTTTAAAGGACAGAGGTCCAAAGTGGTGAGACTCAAGACACTCTAGAGCTAAAAGGTTAGGCAGAAAGGAAGAAACAAAGAATACTTAGAAGAGTAATTCAGTGTGGTGTCATTATCTCATTAACTAGATTGTGATACTATGGACATAACATGTGAAATTTCTTGTGAGTTGCATTTAGTAAACATTCATACAGCATAGATTTATCCAGGTAAACTAAGTCTTAGATACTAAGAATACAATAGTATACTCTAAATATTCTGCCTCACTGGAATTTGGAGGTTAATGCTATTCCTTAAAACAGCATTAAATTCCCTAATAATATGACAGTTTTGCAACAGTAATTCAGTTGAAAATTTTAAATGTTTAAGGCAGATCTGGAGTTTACTGGAATAAGAATGTCTCTTTACAAGCTAACTCTAAACTTGAAATAAAAATGAAGGTTAAAAAAACCCTAGCTGATCAGATAAATATGACCAAATATAAAGTCCATTGAGCATAAAAAAAAGTTTCCCAGTTTTATTATGGAAAACACAGAATTATATTATTAGTTACCTCAAACTCTTTTGTTCTATTCTTAAATTAATTTATATTTTCAAAGAAAAGAAAAAAACATTCAGTCAGAAAGCATCAATAAAAGAATATCATCCTGCTGTATTTCAATATTGTGGTACCTACATGGAACTCATGTGCTATTGCTTATATATGTTTGCCTTAGTATAAAAGTGATCCTGGCTTATTTTTCTATTAATGGTTACAAATTTGCAATCAGCTTCCCATGCTTTCTTGCTCCATCTGCCATCACCATTCTGTAGCTACTCTTAACTCTGCCACCTCCCAACCAAACTTATACATTTTCAAGATTAGGCAACTAGTTTAGTATTCAAACTAGTTTTTAAAAATCTACGTAAGTATGATGACTACTCAACTAATGTTGATCATATTTGGACTGAGGAGCTGTTTTCTATAATTTTTAAAATTTAGAATTTTAAAAAGATTCTCATGTAATACAGGAAAAAGTTTTCAGAATTTTACTCTAATTTAACATTCATTTAAAATATTCATTTAAAATATTAATTTTAGGTACTTAAGACATTCATTCATCTTAGATATTGAAGCTTAAACCTTTCTCCTTTATCTTCATAGAAGTCCAAGAGGGTAGAAATGGAAAAAGCAGTACTTCTTCCTCCATAGAGGTAGCTGTTCCATGATACCCTTTGATAAACACTAAGCATCTTGTATTAAGACTTATGGTATCCCTGTGAATGAAGTAGCTACTCACAAGACTGGATGCCCTCTTCGATGAACCTACAATGCCCATACCTACTAAGCATCAGCAGAGATATACAAAGGATAGTCTTGACCACCTACAATCAAAGTCATGTTCCTGGGAGTAATCCAGATCCAAACGGAAAGAGATGGTGGTCAAGAGTTTAGAGAAAAATAGATTCCTAGAAATATAGAGCCTATCAAGTCTGAGTCATGAAGAAGTAAAAATTCTGGACAGATTTATAACTAGTAAGGAGATTGAATCAAAAACCTCCCAATGGAGAAAAGAGCCCAGGGCCAGAAAGCCTCAATGAACAATTCTACGAAACAGTCAAAGAAAAATTAACACCAAACTTTTCCTCAAACTCTTCAAAAAAAGTAAATTGAAAATACTTCCTAATTCATTTTGTGAAGCCAGCATTACCCTGATAGCAAAATCAGACAAAGATACTATAGGAAAAGAAAACTATGGACCAATATTCCTGATTAATATTGATGTGAAAATCTTCAACAAAATAATTGCAAATCAAATTCAGCACATTAAAAGGACTACACACCATAACCAAGTGGGACTTATTCCTGGAACACAACGATAATTCAACATACAAATCATTCAATGCAATACAGCATACTGACAAAATGAAGGACAAAAGCTACATGACTATTTCAAGTAATTTAGAAAAAGCATTTGACAAAATTCAACACCTTTTCATGATAAAAACACTCAACAAACTAGGAATAGAAGGAAACTATCTCAACATAATGAAGCCCATATATGAAAAGCCTATAGCTAACATTATGCCCAATGGTGAAATGCTGAAAGATTTTCCCATAAGATCAGAAACAAGGCAAGGCCACTGTCACTTCCATTCAGCATTACTGGAAGTCCTAGGCAGAGTAATTGGGAAAGAAATAAAAGGCATTCAAAAAGAAAGAAAGAAAGAAATACAATTATCTGTTTGCAGAAGACATAATGTTACATGTAGAAAACCCTAAAGATTTTGCCAAAAAGAAAAAGAAAAAATAAAAAAGAAACTTGTTAGATTTAATAACCATATTAAGCTAAGTTCTAGGATATAAAATCAACATACAAAAATTGATGAGTTTCTATACACAAACAATCGCAATCCAGAAAGGACATCTAAAAAACAATCCCACTTATAATAGCTTCAAAAAGAATGAAATACTTAGGAATAAACTTAACCAAACTGAAAACTACGAAACGTTGCTGAAACTGGCAGTCATGTTCATGGATTGGAAGACTTAACACTGTCAGAATTCCCAGGCTACCCAATGCAATCTCTATTAAAATCCCGATGGCATTTTTTGCAGAAACAGAAAAACCATCCTAAAGATCATATGTAATCTCTAGAACCCCAAATAGTCAAAGCAATCTTGAAAACAAAGAACAAATTTGGAGGTCTCATACTTTCTAATTTCAAAAACATTTACAAAGCTACAATAATTGAAACAGTGTGGTACTGCATGATGGCAAATATATAGATCAATGGCACAGAATAGAAGGCCCAGAAATAAACCGTCATATATAATGATCAAATGACATATGCAAGGATGCCAGTACCATGCAATGGGAAAAAAAAAAAGGGCAATCTCTTCAATAAATGGTGCTGGGAAAACTGAATATCCACATGCAAAAGAATTAAGTTGAACCTTTACCTTATAACGTACACAAGAA